ATGTGGGACTCAATCCCGGTACTCTGGGAACACACCCTGAGCCAAAGGCAAATGCTCAACCCCTGAGCCATCCAGGAGTCCCAATAATTACTTTATTTTTCATCTTAACTTTATTATTGCATTCTCAGACTCTCCTGACAAAACTGAAAATCTATTCTTAACAGATTCAAACACATCATATACTCTAAATCTTGGAGCCTCTGTTCTCTTGGTCCAGTATAGATTGGTTATTCCATATATTTCTTCAATTAAAAAGACCAAGAAATGAATAGGTAAACAGAGTTTGTGGCAGGAAGCAGAGAGGAGTGTTCAGTTCTTCAGCTGTAAATTAGGACTTCACGACTTCTCATTGCATCCTAATCTCCCTTATTCCTTTTAATAATACTCCATTCCTGCCCCAGTTTTTAGCTATGCATATTGCTGTACTGATAGAGGCTGAATTTCCCAGTGTCCTTTCAAGCTGGGGGACTAAATACTGACAATATGAGTAGATGTAAGGAATACCACTTCTGCATCACTCCATCTTGAGGACTAAAACATGAATGGGGTGCTCAATAAGCCAGCTTCAGCCAAGAGGATCATCTACCTCTGGACTATTACCTGAAGAGAAATAAAATTCCACCTCATGATAAACTTGAACCAGACCTGGATCGACACAAAACTTTTCCCATGTGATGTAATTCACATGCTACCCTGGGAAGACATTGACATTCTCAACAGAATGCTTGAGCAACATTCTCATAAACTTTAATTCATGTAAGACCTCTTCTAGGAAGTGAGCTTCCTATCTACTCAGCTGTCAGCTAGTCAGTGCCATGAATGATCCAGAATCGGACATTCTATTTTCTTGTGTCAAACACTGAATACCTAACCATTCTGTTCCCTATAAAAGGGAAAGAACTCTTTGAACCTAGCTGGTCATAAGCCTCTTTCCTCATGGCAAACTTGAAATAAAACTTTGGCATATGCTCCTAATTAATTTAAAAGACTCGTAATATGGGACTTCTTCGTTACAGTGGCTTAGCTGTACCCTAATTAAGAGAGAGAGAAAAACCATCTCCTACCCACCCCCACTGGACAGAAAATCCCCCACAGGTGGGACCCTTTCCTCTCTGGGCCTGTCTGGGTCCCTACATGCATTGCCCAGCCCATGGCCTGGCCTAGAGCATGTACCCAGTGACTACCACATTTGAAGTTGAAATGCGAGCTAGCTGTGCTCATATTTGTTTCTTCACCAGACTGTGAGGTTCACCCCAGTGATCATGCAGGTCTTGAATGAAGGACTCTGAAAGCCAGCCGTGCTCACTATGCTGAAGGGGAAGTTGTTTGGTCCAAGCTTCAGAGAGCCCTGGGAGAGATGGCCAGCCCAGGAGATGGAACTTAACTGACCAGTTACTGTTGCCAGGCTTTTTACAAGCTCTGACTCATAGAATTTCAAGAGCTTGCAAGGTGGGTATTTGGAAAAAACCTCAGCAGCTTTTGCCTGCCCACCATCCATGGGGGGTAAAGGAAATAGGAAGATGAATAAAAACTGGGAAGGGCCCTGTGTTGACCAAGAACAGCAATGTGTCATGAACTGAAGAGGTGGATTAACTAACACCTGAATTCTAAATGGAAAATAAGGGGATGTCAGGGAACTTCTTCTGGGGCCTGGGTGAGGCCTGGCAGTCACCATTCTCCACATCCTGGTCCCTGGGTTCCGGAGAGCCATGGCTCTAAGCTTAAGAACCCAGCAGACACCCCCTGCTGGTGGTCTGTTTCCAATCAGCCAGACATGGGTCCGGGGTCCCTTGGGAAAGGCCTGGGTTCCTTTTTTTGGAGGCTTGTTGTATTCTGGAAACATTAAGAAATGCCAAAAATAGCCTGGTGAAGACCAAAGGATTTCTTAAATGTTTACACTTGCTTAATTAACACTTTAAACATACACACAAATACAGTGCAACATAGTTGTTCTGTTCACAAGCTAATTACAGGATTCATAAAGGATATTGACTCAGGGCACCCCATGGGATGCTGTGGGGAGGATGTGGTCTGAGATGGGATGCTAGGACATACTCTTAATGTCCCATGAATGTTCCCGCTCCTCAGTCCCATCAGGGAAATTCTCATGCCTGAATATATAACTGCATATAGAAATCATATCAGAAACTTACATTGAAGTCTCTTCGGGAATGTGAGGCCTGGACCAGATTTCCCCCATGCCCTGAGCGGGTCTGTGAGCCTGGGCTGAGCCCAGGAGGGTGACTGGGGTTGACCCTGAGTTCTAGGCAAGGGAGCGCCCCCCTCAGCTGCAAACACTGGAGCCAAGGGCTGCAGGCCTGACTCTAGCACCCACAAGCTGATGGTCCATAGGTCTAGCAAAGGGACCATCCCTCTTGGAGCGAGGAGCGAACAGCTGAGAATTAAGGGCTCAGACCCTCCAAGATGCTTAGGGTAGAGTTTGGAGCTGCCTGGTATCCCTAATCTTTCCTCCTCGGCTGGAATCAGAAGAGGGTAGGAGTGGGAGAGGGAAAAGTGAGGTCTCAGACCCCTACGAACTTGGTCCGTAGCTCCAACCCCACCCCCAGCCCAAGAGCCAGGCCCAGTCACCCAAACAGGAGACAGACAGAGCTTCACAGCCACTGAGAATTAAAACCTATTGATTTTCCCCATTAGCTAGAGAACGCCATCAGAGTGCATTAAAACCAGGCAAAGCACCAGCATCGTGAATAATTAACATCCACAAATGACAACCCATGGGGCCCAGAGGAGGGGGAAGGGGCACCTGGAGGCTTGGGACACCTTGACCCCTTCTGACTTCTACCCCAAGGAGCCATAGCCTAACCTGGCCTCCTCCTCCTCCTCCTCCTCCTCCTCCTCCTCTCTGAATCTCCACTCTTCCTCCTGCCCACTCTCCTTTCCTCTCCTCTTCTCCAGGAAATATCAAGCCTCTAAGGTGAGCAACCCAGGCAGACACAGGAGCAGGGAAGATAGAGCACAAGGAAGAGAGTCAGGGTGCCCAGCTCTGCTGTGTGTCACTGTATGACCCCAGGGGAGTCAGCTCCTTTTTACGACCATTCCCTCCTCTGTGGAGTGTTGGGGCTGGATCAGCGGGCTTCTAGCTAAGTCTATGGTTTGTGGTTCCTGAGACGGACAGTAACTGACCCAAAGCATATGGCAGGACTGTAGCAGAGCCCACACCAGGGCCTGGGACCCCTAGGCCACCCCTCCCAACCTCACCTAAGGGGCACCTTTGTGCAAATCAGAAACATCACCCTCTCTGGATAGACCGATTCAAAGAAGACATACCTCTAGGTGGACTGATGTTAAGAAGGCACTCTTGAGGCTGACCCCCGCCACACACACACACACACACACACACACACACACACACATCCCACGCTGCCGCAGGGCTAAAGACACAAGGCTTGGCAGAGCAGCGGAAGGGCTGGATATCAGCCCCCCTCCTCACCATCTGCCAGGATGCCCCGTGCAGTGTGCATAGCCTGAACAACTACATGTGGGGGCTGTGTCCCCAGCCCCCACCTTCTCTAAGCCAAGGAGGTGCAGATCTGTCCTTCCAGCCAGTGGAATTCAGTTCAACAAATATAGATGTCTCCTTCCAAGCTTCTCCGCCCCCGTCCACCTCCTCAGCCCCTCAGCTGACCCAAGTTCCCGTTTCCATTCCTCCTCCCATCCATCCTTCATCCCCAGAGCCCTGGGAGAGGCGCCTCTGCAATGACTACCTGCTGCAGCCCTGACCGCATCACCTCCATCTGCCTGCCTTGCACCTCACCACCTATCCTTGCATCTACTCTGCTTTCTCTGCTCCTGAGCCCCTGGAAAAACTCTGCTCGCTCCTTAAGACCCAGCTTAAAGACCTGCTCCTCGGTTCCTCCCTGTCTTCCTCAGACAAGCCGGCTAGTTCTTGCCTCTGGGCCCTTGCACCTACTGATCCCTCTTTCTGGACAGTCTCTCCTCCAGATCTTCTGGCCGCCGCCTCCTCCCCCTCCTCCTGCTGGTTGCAGCTCCAAGGTCACTTCCCCTGGGGGTCCTCCTTGAACACCGTATTGAACCACCTCCCCATCTTCAGCCTCTCTCACATCTCCCTGCTTTATTTTTTCATAGCGCTTTTCACACTCGGAATTTATGTTTCCTCCGTTGATTGGTGTTTCCAGGGCCACTGTGAATGGTTGTGTGCGCTCTAAGTTGCAGAGGAGGTGAGTGGGGCTGAAGCCCAGCCTGTGATGGACGCTACACGCTGCTGTTCTAGGGCCCTGTCTGCCTTTTTCTAATCCATACACGGGCACCACATAGATGAGCTGGGGCCTCACTGGCCTCCTGCCGGGATGTGCAAGCCCCCACCGAGGCGGGCATAGTATCTGCCCTTTCTGTTGCTGGGTGCCCAGTGCTCAGCACAGTGCCTAGCACAGAGATGCTTCAAACATTTCTCAAGCAAGCAAATTCTACCCAGGTTCCCCTACTCCCACCCTATTCCCAAGCCCCTCAATAAGATATATGACTGCATGTAATCCATTTCTGGGTCCCACAGGGGTTGCATGTAGTTCAACTGGGGGCATCCTAAAGGAAGCCAGTCAGGGAACTGGACCCAAAGTCAGCGACAGTGACTGTTCAGGGAATGGGGTGGGAGGATCCAGTGGGTTGAGGGGTGGATGTGTGAGTGCAGGAGTCCTGGAGATGCTCCCTGGAGCTCAGAGCCCTGTCCGTCCCAGGGGTGCTGTCCCGAGGCCCCTTCCTACCTGGCTCCCTGGAGGTATGAATGGGGGGTTGAGGTGGCCCAGGCACTGTGACCACGATGCCCAGTGCTGCACAGAGACTCCCACGCAGGAGGGGGCATCTCAGGGTCCTGCAGAGGCAGGCAGGCTCGGGTGGGGCTGGACCTAAGGCGCCCCCCTTCCCTCTGCTCCCAGTGGTGGCCGCTGCCTCCCCGCCGGCCTTCCCAGCTCTGGCAGGGAAGGAGTTAACCTCCAGGCTTCTCAGCGTGAATGTGGAGCTATTAATACCCACAGCCAAGCGGTCTGCCAGAGCAGCCACTGGAGTCGGAGGGAGCAGGAGGGAGCGAGCTCCAGTCAGAGCCAGAGCCAGAGCCAGGACTCCAAGGGCCAGAACTTTTCTTGGGGGACAGCGTGGGCACTGTGCCAGCCTCACCTGGTCTCCACCCGCCTTCGAGCTTCAGGTCCTGATCCTCTCACCTGGAGGCCACCCATGCCACCCACCCCGGGAGAGAAACACAAACTTTCTTAGCGAAATCACCTCTGCTGCTGGGCTGGCTGGACAGGGAAGAGCAGACGTCTGGACAGACAGATGAACAGATGGACAGGGCGTCTGTGAGCCTGCCCACCCAGTCCCGACTGACAGGCAATAGCAGAGCGGGCAGCCAGGGGGCCTAGTGTTCCACCGGGGGCAGCGAGGGGTCCTGCCGGACCTGTGTCTCCCTCCGAGTGCAGGCAGCTACCTGCGTCCCGAGGCCGGCCCTGTGGGTCAGGACAGGAGTCCCCAGCAGACAGAGCCACAGGCTCTTCCACCCACCGAGGCAACGGGTAACCTGAGTGAAAAGGCACAGGTGGCAGGTGGGCAGGCGCGGGGCCCAGAGGCCAACAGGCTGCTGACCCTGGAGCGCTCTGGCTCGGGCCCCCCTGCACAGGCTGGGGACGATGCCGATGAGGCCACCACCAGCCACCCCTGCCCCGTCCTGGAGCTGCCTCCAGCCTGGCCTCTGGGCTGTGGAGCCGAAGATGTGCCAGCCTTCTGCTTCGTGTGCTTCCACAGAGAGGAGGAGGAGGAGCTGCTGGAAGAGGTCTCACTGCAGAGGTCAGTGCCCCCGGGGACATGGGGGGTGGGCAGGGTGAGGGTGCAGTACTCAGACCTCCCTAGGGCCTGGCACACCTGCCTCAGACTCTCCCTGTCCGGCCACTGCTTACCACTCACTGCCGCCTCCCTGAGTCAGACTCGCAGACACCTGGTCGTCACCGCAGCTTCCTCCCTGGCTCTCCCATTCTGGTGCCACGGTGCCTCTCCTGTCCTCTCCCATCGTGCTCATGACCACCCTGCGCAGAGCCCCCCGTGACTCTCCACCCCCACGGGATGAAGTTGCCACTCGGCTGGGCGTTTGAGGCCTGTGTGATTGGGCCGACCCACCCACCTCATTGTGCTCTGCACCCCTATATTCACCCCTAGAGAAGCCTCCCAAACTTCCTTCTCCCCAGTTCCCATCCAACCAGGCCCAGCAGCAATGTGTCCTCCTCCAGGAAGCCCTCCAGGAAGCCCAGCCCCACCCTGAACTGAGAGCCACCTTTCCTCTCTACACTGACACTTAATAATGTTCAGTCTGTTGAATTACTCAGTGAAAATGTCTGTGTGTGTGTGTGTATATATATATATAGTATATATATATACTTGTGTGTGTGAGTGTGTGTGTGTGTGTGTGTGTTAAAGGGAGAGAACAGCAAATGGGTAGGAAATGAAGGTTTGTGTGGTTATGTGGTTGAGCATTTGCTGGGGGTGTGATTGTGAATGTGCATACATGCTTGTGGAAGTGGGTGTAAGTTCTATATACCTATGTAGGAGAGTTTGTGCACTCTGCCCGGGTGAGGGCTCGTGCCCGGGGCCATTGGCCCTTTTGCCAGCTCTCCCCACCCCCACCTGCAGGGAAGCCCAGGCTCCAGCCAAGTGCATTACCCAAGCTGTGACCACAGGCTCCGGGAATGGATGGAAAGTCTGCAGGGGACACAGGGGTCACCTCTGCTCCAACCCAGCCCGCCCACGCCTCCATCACTGCCTGAGTCAGCACTCCCCTGGGGTGTATGGAGGGGGAGAAGGACAAGCTGAGGGCTGACCCAGGTGCCCCTTCTGGGCCTCTTTTAGGAGCGTGAGGACTGTGGGCTGCTGTAGCCTGGATCAGGTTCCTCCCTGAATTTCTCTGTTGGACTCCCTCAGTCTATAAATTTCCCTCTGTGGGCCTCTGTCTCCTCATCTGTGGAATGGGGCAATACCTCTGCTGTGGTTGTCAGCTCATCACTCAGCAGTGACTGAGCCCTCCCCCCCGCCAGAGCGCCAGGGCCCCTAGTCTTCACAGGGTCACAGCCGCTAGGAGGGACAGACAAGCAAACAGATCAGTTTGGCAGAGCGATGGGCCCCCGGATGGGCGTGGGTATACTATCCTCAGGGAGTCTGATGGGAAGACAGACCAGACCACTTGTGCCTGCAGGGGCTCTAGGAGACCTGCCAGGTCTGTCTTACTGTCCAGGTCCTCTCCCAGGTGGTGAGTGACGTTGAAGAAAGAGCATGTGTCACAGGGAGTGGGAACAGCAAGAGCAAAGGCCTGGTGGTATGAGAAAGAAATTGTCTGAGGATGGGGAGTTGAGTCTGGCAGGGTCCAGGGGGGCCAGGTCACAAGAGGCCTTGACTGCCAACCCAAGGACTTAATCCGTAGGTGGTGGAGTGAGAGATGGAGAGGGCCAAAGCAGGAGACTCAGCACCACTGTGAGTCCCAAAGCAATGGGCTCCTGAGAGAGGTATTATTTTCATAGTAGGGGCTCAAAATGCTTGTTGTGTAAGTGAAGATGGCATGGGGACATAGGATACCTAAATCACCTGAGTGGACTGTCAAAAAATACTCTGGGGGCACCTGGTTAGCTCAGTTGGTTAAGTGTCTGCCTTCAGCTCAGGTTATGATCCTGGGGTTCTGGAATTGAGCCCCAAGTCTGGCTCTCTGCTTCTCCCTCTCCCTCTGATCCCCCGCCCCCCGCCCCTGCCATGGGGGATGCCCCTCTGCCTCCGGGGATACGATGGCCTGAAAGTCAGTCCCCTTTCCAGTTGGTGGGCTCTGGCCCTTTAAGGCCCTGAGAGGGGACACCACCAGGCTGGGCAGACAGTGACCACAGGTGCCAGGTGGTGAAGCTAAAAATACTGAATGATGTGGACACCCAGGCTGCAGGCTGGGGTGGGTGGGAAGGAAGGCTCTGGAATATTTCTTTCCTGCTGTAGGAGGGGCAGTGGGTAGTGACGTTTGGTGGGGTCTCCTTAGGGGCTTAGAGAAGGTGCCCCCCCACTAATGTCCCTCTCAGGCCTCCTCCAGCCCCTGGAAGGCACCAGGATTCGCTCCCAGTAGCCACTGCCATATCTAGTAGCCCTGAGTCCTGCTGATTCTGAGGCATCCTGCTTCTCTGGAACCCTCTCTGGGCCTCAGACCCTTAGGGACAGAGAGGCAATGAGGGGTGCAGGCAACCAGGTCACTCATTTGTAAATTCAACATGCTTTCCCTGAGGTCCCCTAGGTGCTGAGGCCACAGGCGTGCCCATGACATAGGCATTCCCTGGAGGAGCTCACAGCCTGGTGAGGACAGGAGGGCACCCACTGAAGTGATTGCACGCAGCAGTGCAACGTGCAACAATAGAGATGTGAGCACCATGCAGGGTTTCTGTTGTGGGATGATGCAAGAAAACGCCCTGCTGAGAATACATCTGAATTTGATGAAGGCTTGTCAGCAAAAGCATCATGCATGGTGTTGCTTACCAGCCACCTACCTATGGTGCTTTGATGTATTAATTAAGGTGAAGCTACCTGTCATAACAAATAAGCCTGGAAATCACCGTGGCTTGACCCAGTAGAGCCTATGTCCTGCCCGTGCAAAGTTCTAGAGGGGTTGGAGTGTCGAAGGAGACCGTTCCCCAAACAGTCTTCCGGGGACCCAGGCTCCTCCCACCTTGTGACTCAGTTGTCATCCAGGTCTTCAGAATCCACAGCTGGATTCTCTGCAACCACTCGCAGACAAAGAAGAAAGAGCACAGGAATCACATGTGAGGTTTTATGAGCCAAAGCTGGAAGTGGCCTACTTTACCTCTGCCCACACTTATTGGCTGGAACAGCTAATTGCAAAAGAAAAAAAAAACACCCTGGGAAATGTAGTCCAGCTGTGACAACCTCCTAGGGATGTAAAAATGAAATATTTGAACTATGTGAAAGCACCTGGCACATAACAGGTGCCCAGTGTGTCCGATGGGTCATTCATTCATTCATTCTACAAATCTCACTAGAGACTGGAAGGTGAAAATACTGTGTGCGCGTGGGGCTTATATCCAATGCAGGAGCCACACAAAACATAAGTAAACAAATAAATATGATCAAAACCCATTGTTAAGGAAATAACCAGAAGGATAGTAGGGGAGACACCCCCTTTGCATAAGGTGAACAGGGCAGGTAGGATATTTCATCTGAGAGCTAAAGAATGAGAGGGAGCTGGGCAGAGTTGGGGGTAGGAATATCACAGGCCTGAGGAACAGACGTGCAAAGGCCCAGGGGCAGATGAGAGTTTGGGGAGTGTGGAGAATGATCAGGCCAACATGACTCACACAGAGCAAATGGTGGAGAGAGTGGCATGAGGTAGGGAACAGGCTAAGTTACGTAGGCCTGGTGGACAGTGGTGAGGGAATGCATCTTATCCTGGATGAGATCAGGATACCTCCAGAAGCCTCTAAATGGAGGAAGAGATAACATCTGATTGACATTTTAAATGATGTCTCAGGCAGCTCCAGGGAGTTATCACGGGCAGCTGGGCCAGAGCAGACATGGGTACCAGTGTGGAGGTCACAGTGAAGACGGAGGGGCCGGGGCGGTGGCCTGGACCAAGGCGGGCCTTGGAGACAGGGAAGCAGATGTCTCCTAGGTATACTGAGGAGAATTTGCTGATGGGATAAAGGAAGAAGGGAATGGAAGATGAATCAGAGGTTTCAGGGTGGGAGAAACAGATGATTGGAAGGCTCAGGGGAAGGAAGGTGTGGAGAGAAACTCAAGAACTCTGCCTCGGATGTTTTCAACTGGAGAAGCATGTGAGCTGCCCACGTGATGATGTCAAGTGAGGGCTCGGTCCTGAAAGTCTGGGGCTCAAAGGGGGAGACTCTTGGCTGGTGAAAGACTGTCAGAGACATCAGCAGGAAGGTGGCATTGGAAGCCGCGTGTGTGCAGTCCCAGCAGCCAAGAGAAGAACGTCTCCAGGAGAAGGGAGAGCAGACAACTGGACTCAAAGATGCCAAACAATCAAGGGAAAAGAGACGGTTCTTGAAGGGGTAGAGATAAAAGCAGATGTGAGTGGAGCCGGCTGGTTGGGATGGCGGATGGAACACACGCACTTAACTTCTCTGAAACCCCATTGAAAGGAAGCGAGTGGATGCTTCAAGGTATGCCTTTCAGTCCTGCATTTGCTGCCATAACAAATTACCTCAAAGTTGGTTGCTTAAGGCCAACCAAATGTGCTGTCTTACAGACTGTACGTCAGAAGTCCAACATATGTCTCCCTGGGCTAAAATCAAGGTGTCGACAAGGCTGCCCTAGGAATCTCTCTCTGGAAGAACTTTCTGGAAGTTCTAGGAGAGAATCCATTTCCTAGTTTTTTTCTGAGGCGTCCTTTTCCAGAGGACACCTACACTCCTTGGCTTGTGGCTCCCTCCCTCCCTCCCACCAGCAGGTAGCAAGCTCTGCTTCTTTGACCACATCACTTTCTCTGATCACAGCTGGGGAAGAAAGGTTATTCTGCTCCTTATGCTTCATGTGATTAGATTGGGCTCACCTGTATAATCCAGGATCCTCTCCTCACATCAACGGCACATGGGCAAAGCCCCTTTTTGCCAGGTAAGATTACATACTTAAAGGTTCTGGGGATTAGGACACAGACATTGGGGGCTGAGGGGTGGCATTATTCTACCTACTGCAGTATGAATCAGCAGGAACTAATATATTGGACAGGAGACAACAACAACAAAATTTTGATTCCAGAAGGCAGATATATGCGTACTAAGTGGTTTCACAGCCTGGTG